ATTCAAATCACGCACCTGTAAAGTCTACAATGTTCAGTCAAAGTCTCCTGACAATCCAGATAAATTATGTCCTTGTGGTCGCATGGTTCGTCGTCATAGTTTCACTGATGAATCTCTGGAATTCAAAGAGAGAAGCCAAGGAAATACTGAATGGAAGCCTAAAAATCAATTTCTCGACATGAAATATTCTGTCGAAGTGCCTATCAACGTATATGGAATATTGAAACCTACTGGTTGTAAATTTCTTCGAATAGATAGTCGATTACCAATGAAAGATTTATATCAGTTCATTCTCGAAGATTGTGGAGGACAGAAACCAGCTCTCATCTTAAGTATTTATGGTGGCGTCAAATACTCTACTATGACTCGCCTACGTGAAAATGAATTTATAATAGGTGTCATTCATGCTGCTACTATGGCCAGTAAATAATTCATGTGTTTTGAATATTATTATATTAATATAGATCTATTTAGATGCATGGATTCTTACTGTTGGCGTCAACAATGGTATATCGAAATTGGTTGGCGAAGGTATTTCACAATATCGTCTCTTACAGGAATATGCGAATAAAGTGAAATGTATTGGAATGACAATGTGGGGTACAATGGATGAAGATACACATCTTGAGCTTAAAAAAGCATCAAGCGTAAAATAATAGGAATACTTGTAAGAAATTTAAAATGCAAAAGATGTTTTCGTTTTATAGGGACTTCCATCACCACTGTGTGAGCGACAAATTCCAGACAATGCTGAAGAATATAAAGAGACAATCGAAAAAAATCATACACATTGTATTTTATTCGATAGTGGTAGACTGTACGAATATCTCAGTGATTCGCAGCGTCATCAATTTGTTATGGAAGCTTGTAAAGACAAAGACCAAGATAAGGATAAAGATAAAGATGACGATAAAAAGAAACAAAATGACAGTAATAATGATCATACATGTATGTACTTCCGTGAAAATTTTCCTAATATCATCAAAATCTATTGAATATATATATATATATGTACAAAGGTTACGCCGTAACAATTATCGTCGAAGGAGGTTTAGGTAGCCTTGAAGTTCTTGAAAATGATATTCAAGAAAAACGACCAATTGTTCTGATTCAAGTTCGTATTATAAAACTCTCACTTATTTTTATTGTATTGCACTCGGATTGATGATATTCGGCTTCGGAAACCATCGGATTTTCCTGCAACTAGTCGGAAAGATGCGCGAGAAATCATTATATTCGATACGAAAACACCGGAAACCCATGGGACATCGAAGCAAAATTCCGGCCTGAATAGGCTCAGCATGTTTTTCTGATGACTTACGACAGATTCCTGTCAGAAAAAAACAGAAAGTTAGTCAGAAGTCACTAGAAAAATTCAGAGAGCCTCCGATCTGAAATACTGCTTCTAATTTCCATCGGTTGCTGGTGTTTTTCTGTTGAAATCCGCCTGCCTTTCTCGATCTAACCAGTCATTTAAATATAGGGTAGTGGCCGTTTAGCCGATTTACTTGCTATGCTAGTCGAACAGACATCAAATTCGGATCGAAATCAATATCAGTAATGAAATATGGTATAGTGTTTGTTTTTACGTTAGATATTTCTTCAACAGGAATCCATCGGATCAAGAAATTGAACAAGTTCTTCGTCGATTTTTCCCTAGTGTTCCAAATTCAGAAGTGTCTACAGCAAAAGGACGAATTCAAAAAATTTTACAAGAAGAAAATCGTTATCTATTATATGTTTTCTGTATGAATCGTGATAAAAATGTAGATGAAACTATTTTCAAGGCTATATTTGCCGGTATTTGCGTTTACAAATATATTTTTTTATTGATAAATTTTTATTTCATAGTTACAAAGAAGAAAAATGAATTAGAACATGGTCAAAAAACTAAGAATGAATCACAGGGGCAAGAAACACAACTTCCAAAAGATGAACATAAACAACGTTCAAAAGACGAAGATAAACTAGTACATTTGGCACTTGAATGGAATTATTTTGATGGTGCTTCGCCAATATTACTAGCGCAGCAAGATGAAATGATGGAAATACGTAATGAAATTATACGGATACAAAGTAAAAGTATGAAGATAGAACGTGATTCCGAAAAGGTAAGACCGTGAAGAAAAACACTTGCTCACTAACACAAAGCATGCAGCAGCAAAGCAAACCATGAAGTCATTGAATACATTATAAATCTTTGATAATGGCTAGTTGTCGATATGACAATCCAATATTATCATAAAACCATTTGAATAGAATGAAAACTGATCATCGATGTGAATTCGTCATACACTTATCAGTTGCACTACTCGGACTAATCATGTTTAATATTACATTGCTAATAAGAGTGTTTGACTGTTGAATTTAGTGTCATGCTTATATTCAAATCGATTACCATGAAATTCTTGATACGAAATATTATTAGTATTCCGATGAAATTTTCAAATAAAAGCTCGTTCTTTTTCGATAAAACATGATCGAAACCCCGAGAAGTTTGAATAAGAACTATACATCTTAAAAATAGAAGTCTCAGTAGGTTCGATGTTGTTAGTTATTTAATACATGCCTCACTTTATATTTCTATCTCATCTGTTTTTATTCAGAAAAATATATCTCATTTTAAGCAGTATAGTATGAACTTGTATGATATTATATGTATTGACAGTAGTTTTGAAAAGAAAACTTCTTCTAATGTTTTTCAAAACTGTTCTCAAACGATTGATTATTTTTGTTAGTTTTATCATGGCTTAATAATGCATAATGAATTTGATATTATTTTTATCTATTCTAAAGAGAGATATACGAGTTATAACCGTCACGGATATAAGTCACCTGAAAAATTGATATGATAATATAACAGTCTTACCATTAAAAGTTGTATTAGCAATCAGAAAAACAAAAAGTCAGTATCTTCAGTAATGAGCATAACAAAATAACTTTGAAATTAATTTAATCGTTTTATAGCAAAGGTACAAGTAGATAAAATTTGAAAATAAAATTCGAGATAGATGAAGATTCCTATAAAAAAATTCGAAGGATTGTAGAAACTACTTCTCATACTGAGAAAAGCTAAGTGAACATTTGCGGATGACATAAATCGATAAAAAAAAGATAAGAAACAGTTTCCTATAATTAGTGCAATGTCTTTGTGTAACTTAGAAATATAACACTAAGATTCTTTACTTTCTATGGAACTCAATAAAAATAATGTCAAAATAAATCAATAAGCAATATTCGTTGTATAATATTCAACTCGAATAAGTAGAAGTAAATGAATATTAAAAAACAAGTATGAAAAAAATGACAAGGTCGATTTTTTTGCAAACCATTCTGTATAGATACGTATATCGGTCATGTGAAAATAATTATATTTATTGAAGTTGTGTTAATTGAATTACACGAGTATAAAATGCATATTTGGATGGTATATCAGAATCATATTTCAAGTAAATATTCAACTCAATAATAGACAAATCTTCTTATAAAAGTAATGGTGTGGAAGGTGTTAGTTGCAAGAATGTAAGAAAAGACGCTTTGTTATTTTATATCCTATTAAAATTTGTATCGTCCTGGAAGCAGATATTAAAAGAGTTAGAAAGGTAATTGCAAGTGTTAACACATCATGATTCGAAACAAAGTACAGAAAGATGGTACTTAATTGACCCATAAACTTTCTTGTAAATTGCATAGTAAAGACCTATAATTCATGGTCGCACAGTTGATTTTGAAATGAAGACAACTTTTTAACAGGTGTTATACAATTCAATATGCTATTAACCAGCTATATACCGTAAGTGTTTAGCACACGGCTAATTCCTCCCAGAAAACTTAAAATCGGTTAAACCTTGAGGCTATAAATACGATGTCATAGTTCGATGGGCAACCTCTTTTCATGTCCAACTAGATACAAAACTCTTCATTGTGCTTTCATGATTCGACAATATCTGAAATTTTTCTACTTGAAACCGATAAAAAATATCATACTTTAGGAATGATAATATAAAATTCGAGTCATTGAAAACTTTCACCTTCTATTAGTAATTTTTTACCTTCTTACAAATAGGATCTTGTACGCCATTGGTTTTATGATACTAGATGTAAAAGAAGTGTTGAAGTATATACAGTAGAACTTTGCACTTACCGTTTTCCCTTACAGACTATGCTAGACATTAATGACATAACAACAAAAATCATATTTCCATCGTGTCTTGTGATAACATTTAAACTTCTTTATTAATGCATTTCTGGAGGATTAAGTCAAAGTAGAATCAAGAACAGTGTTACAAAATACGTAAAATAGAAGAATATTTTTCTAGTTAGCAGGATCAGCGAGAGTGACTGCCACAGTTTTATTTCACAGGAATTAAGCTAACAGCTGCTTTTCTAGAAAACAATGTCTATTATTCAGCTGAGTATTTACTCAAAGTATCATTCTGATTATATCATCTAAACATATAGTTTTTGCTGATTTAACTTAATCAAAACAACTTCGATAAAGTATCTTATAGAAGTTACAACTTGTTTAAAAATATTTTTCAAGCCATAGGTATGATATATATGTTCAGTTCGATATGACATATATATGTATCTAACGAAACATTAATTGTCAAACATTCTTTGATAAGTTCTTTCAATATAGAACAGTACATGAAATTATTACTGTGAGCAACTGTTCCATATATGTAAAGTGATAGATATAATCAAAAGTATTAACGACCAATAATGTCTGATTTATTTTAGAAAGATACAAAACAGCAAACGGAACTGTTGTTAAAACAACAGGAACTATTCTCCCAGCAAAAGAAGCTGTTCTCAAAGCAAAATGAACTATTCTTGAAATCTCTGGAAAAGAATCGTTTAAAATTTATTGAACATTTTTTAACAGCTGATTTTGATCCATTAACTTTAATAGAGAAAGATAATATTTCTAGTTATCAAAAAATTCTTTCAGACTTATATGTCAACACTTATAAGGAAATGAATACGGTGAGTTTTTTCGATCAATTCGTTTTTCTCTATCGAAACATCTTTTTTTTTACTACAGAGTCATAAGAATCGTGTAAAAACATTATTTGGTAGATTACCTCTTAAATCAATACGAGAACTTGATTATAAGTTAAACAAATTTGTGGGTTCTTTTTTTGGACCGATTTATTCATTTGAAAATGATAACATCAAGAATCGTATTCAAATTGATTTGAAGAATCATGTATGTACTTGTTGTGGATCCTATGAACATGTTGAAAATAATAATAAAGAAAGAAACGATCAAGCAAACAACAAATATACAAAACATCACGTGTTACGTGATCTTTTTTTATTGTCTGTTTTCATGGATATGTCTGAATTGGCTAAAATCTTACTTTTTCATGTTCGATCTTGTATTTGTGCTGCTCTTATTGCTTCAGCTGTATTTAAAAGATATTCTGAATCATCTCAAACAGTTTACTTAAAAACAAAATTCTTAGCTCAATCATCAGACTTTGAAAAGTATGCTGCAAAGTTTCTTGGTAAATGTTATAAATTTAGTGAAGAATGTGCTTGTGAATTACTTTTACGACAAATACCACTTTTTGGTAATGTTACATGCATGCAGGTTAAGAACACTAGGTATTAAATTAAAAGACAAACAAAAGAATTTTCATTTTGTTAGGTTGCTATTTCAAGTGAAAGTAAAGAATTACTTAACACAGCTTATTTTGATCAAACATTAAATCAAGTATGGTTTAATAAATTATCCTTGACTAATAGTCACACAACAGCAAAACTATTACAAATTCCTTCAATTCTTACTATTGGCTTTATAGCGCCTATGATCATCAGTTATCGAGAGGAGGATGAAGAATCAACGAATGTATGTAAAAGAAATAATATTTTTTGTAATCGTAGTTGATTTCAAGATATTTTATTTTAGAATACAGCGAATAATGCGTGAGTCGAAATTGTTTATTATTATAGATATTTTATAAATGAATTATTTGCATTATAGTCTATCTGAAGAAGGTATAAACTATTATGTTGATAGACAACAATCAAAACAAGACAAATGCACTAATTATTGGACACGTTTTCGATATTTTCATGAAAGTCCACTCATCAAAATGTCTTATCATTTTGTAAGTTATTAATCCAATTTTTAATAGAGGAAATAAAGATATTTTGGAATAATTTAGATAAGTTATGTGTGGTTTTTACTTGTATTTAGTTATATGATGCTTTATCATCTAGATGGTCGAAATACATTTATTATTCCTCATTGGACTGAAATCTATGTGATTATTACTGTTTCAACTATGTTTTGTGAAGAATCTCGAAGAGTAAAATTAATTGATCTTTCGCAAAAAAAGATTTTTTTTTCTCTTTGTTTTGTTATATAAAGCTTTATCATGAATATAATACAAGAATGACTGAACGATGGGGCTCAACTGGATCCGCTTTTTTAACAGTTTTGTCGAATGCATTTTACATTATGCCTTATATTCTTTTCTATTTGGGTCTTGGTTTTCGATATGGTAGTTATAATGAAAGTTTACTTACTACTGCAAGGTTTGTTGAAACTGTTGCAATGTTGCTGATGAATTGTATGTATTTTAGAATTATTTGGGCACTTGATCTTGAATTATGGTATCTTCGATCATTAAAATTTGTTATTGCTGTAAAATTTCTAGGTCTAAAATTATTTATGTTAAAAAATATGGTTCGTTAAGAAATAAATTAATAATAGAGTATCAATTTTGAAATATTAATATTAATTTTAGCTTCGGGACTTATTTGCTTTCGTCTATATGATTTTTATAGCAATAGCTGCTTATGGAGTTGTATCTCGATCATTAATTCTTTATAAACAAGTACCATTTACTGGTCGTGACATTTTTGGTCAAATCTTTTACGAACCATATTGGCTTCTTTATGGAGATGTATCGGATAAAAATTTACTTGATGGTGATAATTTTTTTATTTATTTCAAAAGGATCTATGTATTTTTAATATTTAGACATAATTAACAGTAATAGTAGTAATGCAACAGGAAATGTTGCAGAAGCAACAGCAACACATGTTTTGTTAGCATTTCATATGTTATTTATTAACATTCTTTTACTCAGTTTAATAACTGCCGTTTTTGCGTAAGTATGAAACAAAGATATATAACAATGAGAAACTCTGCTCGTATTTCACGTATTCAGTGTTTTTTCTTATCTCAGAGATCAATGTCGATGCCAATGTAGACGAACCATTAGAATATCTCCGAGGAAAACGACTGTCTCCAAATAGCTATACTATCGAGCTACCTATTAACTTTTAGCAAGTTATAGTTAAGATTTTGAGTCTCCCACCAGGTATTGTAGTTTTTTTCGCACTGTGATGCATTTTTTGTGTAAGGAAAGCAATACACTGATAGTAATGTATGAATCAAATCTTAAATAATGCATCAAGTAGAATCTTAATTTTGATTAGGTTTCTGTTCGAAGTCACTGTTTCATAACTGATAACAAGATGTTTGACAATATGTGAACTTTCTTTATATTAATTTTATCAGCCGTAGTCTTAGCTATTATCAAACATTGTTCTTATTCTGACTTACATCTGATGCATGATGTTATTTTCGATGATTCTATCAAAATAATCACCAAAAAAAGTAGACTTTTTCAATAAGCACATTCAATATGTTTCTGAATGAATATTTTCATTTCGAATGTTATTTTATGTTTCAATCTAGTCATTCGATTGATGAAGTTCGAGAAAATACAGAATTTTATTGGCGTTATCAACGTTATTCATTTGTACGAGAATATTTCGAACGCTTACCATTATCTTATCCCCCATTTATTGCTATTTCACATGTCGTATTACTTTTGTTGACTATTCATCGTGAATTTTGTTCACTATTGGGTCGACATCAAGTGGCTGCTGACAATCATGTACCCCTGTCAAAAAAGCTCACACGTGTTTTTAGTAAGTTTTATAGAATCTTCTTTATGTCAAAGTTATAACACATGTATATAATAATGATTCATATAGAAATGATTCCTACAAATGATTCACAAAATGAACAATGGGATTCTTTTGAAAATGCTGCAACGCATAGTTGTATTCGTTCAATATTAGAAAAAAGTGAAAACCAAGATACCTCAACAACTAGCCATGAAAAACCGAGTAAAAACAATGACCATCCAATCAAACAAATTAATGACACAACAGCGTCCGAACACATTGAAGGCAAAAGTAGAAGAAAAACGGAGTCTTGTAACTCATTTAATTGACAAATAAAAAAAGGAACGTACATAAACGAATTAATTTCGCCACTAATGCATTTTGACGCACTGAACATATTAATCTAACATATGAGCATATTTGAGGGTGTAGATGTGGGTGATGATAATATGGGTTCCGATGGGATATGGGTGAAGTTGAATAAAAATGCAAATTTAAAGCGATACCCACAGATCTACAACCATCAGTTTCCATTCACATGGACACCTATACATGGATATCCTATCTCTACAACCACACTTTACAGTTCGCATCCCATTCGTTCAGATGTTTCCACTCTTGTGACGGTGTCTTGAACCTCTACCATATGGGTGTGAGTGAATGTGTTGGATGCGGATGCAGGAGTCACTGTTGCTGTCGATAAAAGCAAGGTCTCTACTCACATTCACAGTCAACAAGTTTATTAGCATTTGAACTAAACGATGATGTGAATTTTGTTTTCGAAAATCTTTTGAAGATTTGTCTTGCTACGGTTGAGTATTCAGATGGCAGTTGTTATCACCATGAACTGAATAATAGCAAGAGTCACGGCAAAAAAGTTATGACTACGATTGTAACAGTTTCATTTCGAAAGAACTAGTCAATAGTTCGTATGAACTGATCAAACAGTTCATGAGTACTGAACTGATATGAAATTGTTACAATCATAGTTATGACATTTGAAAATGGAAACCGTTATGAAGATCAATTTGTGATGGAGAGAATCATGGCCAAAGATTCCCATATATGCTCATGACCCTCCTTATGAGGCACAATTTCGCAATTGCAAGCATCTTGACAAAGTAGCTTGTATTCATACTTATAATCATGCTTTCTATTCTTATAGAGATGAGTTTGAAGATGATAAGTTTAATGATCAAGGTTTTGCCAAGTATGGTAACTGTGACTTTCATATAGGTATTTTTGTCAAAGATAAACGCCATTATCAAAGATTTTTTATGTTTGCTAATGCTACTCGATATTAGAATCAATTTGACTGACGACGAACGCGATACTTATAGCCACTGTGACATAATAAATAAAAATTTTGATTCTATTCTCAGTTTGTCTAGATTGTATTTCGAAACAGTTTTCACTCAACATTTTGTACAACATTCAATTCTCTAAAAAAAACATTAGATATTAAAAATAAGCTTGAATTAAACCTAAATCAAATGTTATCGACGGGTTGTTCAGAATTACTTTCTATGTAAAGCGATGTTCTGTTAAAAATTACCTTTTTTCTTTAATCCTTCATTTAGGATGCAACAGATTTCTTGTCTTTATTTCAAAATAAAAAAAAATGAAAAGATAATTTTTATAGAGATAACTTGAACTTAAAAAACAAGCACATAGAATGACTTTTCTTATTTAAAGATGACAAAATTTGAGTGAAAATATCGTATTCAAAGGCATTTTCGATTTTGACAAACATTTGTTTACAATTAATTAATTTTAAGAGAAGAAAAACAAATGTTAGCATATATTTGTTAAGAGTACACAATTATGACTTTCAACAATTACTACTAAGTGGTTGCAGAATAAACAAACATTTTGTATTAAAACTTCCATGTTATTTACAAAACGAATATTATAAAAATATTTTCAATAGTTCAAAAATTCTTTTTTTTTTTGTTGTTTTGAACTATTTGAAAGACTATTTTGTTTTAAGTCAATTTTTAACTAATAAAAATTATTAATTTGTATTTTAAAGGAACAAAAAAATTGATCATAGAGTCTAGAGATCATATTTCATTTTAATAAAAATCAGTTATCTATACAATTAAATTAGAATGATTCAATATACATATATATATATATATATTGAAATTTGATATCTTATTCAATCGATTTCTGTTTGATTATTATCTTCATTTAATGAAGAAAAAAAAAAAGAGAACGTTGGAAACAATTTGTTTAATGTAAAAATTAAATGATTGTTATATGATATTCATACTTTTTTTCAATAGTTTATTATTTTTTTATAAATAAATAATCTAAACTCATAATATTACTAAGCTATTGATGTTTTTCTTTTTATATTAACATATACAGAAGAAAAAAAAATTATACACGTATTTGATATAGTGATGCATGATAAATGTCATTTTCATCAATAATATGATCTATATTATTCGATTGATCGATTATATTATTTACCATCGATTGAGAAGAAATATTTGTTTGATGAATATCATCTAAAGTAATACATTAATATTTTACATTATTTTTATCATTTAACGATCAAAATAAATTTTCTATATCAATTAAATTCAATAATAGCATGTTTTAAGGTAATGCACAAATGAAAGACTTCAATTTGCTAAAATAGAGCTTGTACACAATTTTTCATTATCATATTGAATTATTTCCTCAGACTTTATCCAAACTTTACGAAACTAAACACTTATCCATTAGATGTATTCGTTATAATCAAATCGTAAAACAGTTAAATATCAAATAATACATAATATTCTTCACAACAATTCTCATTATCGAAAAGGATGATGGGTGTTTTTTTGTATTTTAAATAGTATCTAACATTAAATGACTGTTAGATATGGTAATAATTCTATATCTAATCCGTTCGTCTCAAAAACAATTCTTATGATCATTGTATTAATTTAAGAATTTCAATTTATAGAAATAATCAAGCATTAGATCAAAATGAACCTTACAATTAAATAGAAAATATTATAAAAACATACCAAGTGATAGAGCTTTTGTTCTTAACATTGATTCTTTTGTTAAACTTCTATCAATAATTGAAGTTTTTGATAATGAAGTTAATGGTTGATAAGAATAACGTCTTGAAGAAGATAAATGCTCAAAAGTTGATTCCCAAGTATCTAAATAAAAATCTTAGAAAATAAAATAAAATCATTTATTCATACGAATATCAAGAATATGTTGTTGTAATGCTCGAATCCAATTTTTTAATATAAATAAATCTTGAACAATAAATTCTACTTCATCAAAACCTTGAGTACCAATTATAAATGATAATTGTTTATTACATAATGAAATAATTGTTTCCTAATTTCAAATGAAAAAAGAAAAACCTCTTATAGTTTATAATCAAAAACGTATCCAATAAAAAAAAAACAAATTCTACCGATGTAATACATATAGAAAATTGATGATGATCCGACAATTTATTTAACGTTATTTCTTCACCTTTTAAAAATCCTGCTGTTAATATACATGAATATGATATATTATTATTTTTTAAAATTCCAGCATATGTTGCTAAACTTGTATAACATAATGGTTCAATAGTAAAACGTGCAATAAATGATGTATGAATAGGTAATTGCATAAGAGGATTTTCATGTATACGTTCCATTCTTAAATATCGAACTTTAGCCATTTTATATACAGATTCTTTCGTAAATATAGTTCGAGCAATTAAAATAAATTTTGATTGTTGTTGAACAGATGATTTATGCTAAAATTTTCTTTTCTTTTTTTTTTCTATTCAAATTAAAAATATTTTTTTAAATATTCTTACATTTATTGAATTAATTTCTTTGATTTTTCGTGTTAATTTATATGATTTACCATATGTAGAATAATAACTATAACGATTAGCAAAATCTTTTACTGATGATGATAAAGTAAGAGTTTTATTTAATGCATAAACTTCCAAATATAATTGAAAATCATGTGAAATATTCTTACTAAATACAAATAATAACAATGAATTTAAATAAATATATTATAAATCTTACAAAATTAATTTATCTGTAAAAAGTATTTCAGTTGATTTTTTATCAATAGATTTCATTTTTGTATCAATTATTTCACATCCAATACGTGCCAAACAAAAAACAGCAAATTTTTTTTTTTCTAAATTTCGTATATAAAATTTATTCATTAAAAAAAACAAAAAAAAATTTTTTTTTTTTTAATAAAACTTCTACCTGATTTTGCTTTCATAGTTGTCCATATTAATGGTAAACGAATATCAGATAGAATAACTGTTGCTTTTGTTGGTTCAAGACTTCGAAAAGGAAATTAAAAAAAAAAATCTAATAAACAAAATAAATTAATTCTTCATACTTCATATTATCACGTTTAAGTAAATTTTCTTGTTTTCTTTGTATTTCATTCATAAATGCTAACATACGTTGTTGAGAAAGAACAAGAGCTTTATGACATTCAATTGTTTGTTCAAGTGTTGTAGCCACATTAAGTAATTTACTAATTCCATCTATCATCTTGACTTCACAATCAATTTTACGTTCTAATTCAGGATCCTTTATTTTTTTTTTTTTTTATTGTATAGAAAGTTTTTATTTCAAATTAGTTTTATTTTCCTTTTTTTCTTTTCATTTTATTACATACCCATATAAAAAATGAAACAACTCGTTTTTCATTATTGTTATGAATGCTCATTGGTTCCATTTCTGTTTTTTTTTTTTTATGAAAAAAAAATTAGTTATAATTGATTACAATCGATGAAAAGAAAAAAACTGAAATAGTATGGAAGCAAAAACAAATGCAAATGTCAAATTTTCCTCGCTGTTTGAAATTTCTTCTTCTTCAACTTCTTTTTTTTTTGCTGTTCGTCTTGTCTTTAAACAGAGAGTGACATGAGAAGAAGGCAAATATGTACTATTTAATAATTGAGAATTTTATAGTATATAAGAAGCACGTCTATGTAGGTGGACAGGTGTATGTCTCAGGGATAAAATTCGATTTATTAAGCATTTTTTGAAATATATTATGATACTATGTTTCTCTTTAAACATAAGTTGAATGTGTTAATATCCTTTCTCTTTCTTTTTATATAATGATTAAGTGAAGAAAAAATACATTCAAGGATTTTCATCTTTATTTATTTTTCATGATATAAAAAAAAATGCATATATGATTTTTCATTTGAATAAAAAAGAAATATCATATTTTACACTGTTATAAAAATCTATGATAATTGATTTCTAGTTTCTTTTTATGTTTAATGTAAATTAGTTTTGTTTTTTTTTTTTTGACATAGATATAAATTTAA